GTTCTACCTCAAGGTCTAGGTGCTCTTACTGCCTTTTACAGGGGAAAACCAGCTAATTCCTAATCCATCTAAAACACAGACATGTGCTTTTCATCTTAAGAACAGACAAGCATCCCAAGCTCTGAGGATTACCTGGGAAAGAAACCCACTGGAGCATTGCAGCACACCCAAATACCTGGGAGTTACCCTGGACCATGCTCTGACCTACAAGAAGCACTGCCTGAATATCAAGCAAAAAGCGGGCGCTAGAAACAATATCATACGAAAGAGAGAGAGAGAGAGAGAGAGTATAAACAAAGAATAAAATAAAACAATAGTTGGAGAAAAATTTCAGATCGATCCAAATATTAAGAGACAATGAGGAGAGGGAATGAGAGATTTCTTGATGACTCTTGTGTTTTATATATTGCTTGGGAGAATGTAAATTAAAACTAAGAGCTATGAGTCTTAATCAACATCATCCTGAACAGATTTCCCCAAAACCAAAGCCTTAAGTCAGTGTAGCTTAGTGATGACACAGATTATGGATTAGTGTATGCCATCAGCTGGATGTATATCTTAGCTGTCAGGATCTCTGAAATTTTAAACCCATTTCAAGAACTTCCAGGAAAGCAAAATTCTTGGCATTGTGTGCACACAGCATACTCCTTTGAAAACTGTTTTAAATGCCCGATAAAGCATTGGAGGGGGTGGGAGTCCCAAGCTAGTCTAATGAATGATTCATAGTGGCATTCTTTGTAGCTGCTCAGTGCAGCTAAGCTACAAGAAAGTGTTCCAAAAACTGTGAAGGACTCCTCAACTTGGCTCTATTTCAGCAAGCTCACAGATGCCATGGCAAAGATGCAATCTGTTTAATGTCAGGGCTGATTCACAAGGCACTTTCCCTGCATATACTAGTAATATTTCTCTGCCTCTATACAGAGAAAAATATATTTCTAGGATGGACTTAGAAAAGTACTTCCATACCAGAAGTTTACTCTGAAATAGCCATGCTTTCTGGCTTTTTATCGGCATCTCTGGGTCTTTTATGCATTTACATCATGGGCCACAAATTTTAAAGGCTCAGTTTGCACCCTTTTCCAGATTGTAGACCACATCCCTTTCCAGTTGCATATTCCGGTTTCTAAAAATGACCTTTGAAATGTAAAAAAACTCTTGGTTGACTTAAATTTTGTTCAATAGCAAATATTTCAATAGCCAATGATGTACCCCAGAGGCTCTTGGACATATGATTTTTCATTGGAAGTATGTCACCAAACTACATATTTTTGGAGGAACGACATTTCAAATAGCACCAAACTAATATAATTGTGCAGTATGGAAACACCCAGGCTCTCACAGTACAGTATGTAGTATTTGCCAAAACTGAGATGGGTAGAGACAGTAATGCAGATGCCTGTAGGAAAAGCTAATTCAAAGCTAATTCAATGAGGTTAAGTGGTCTTTGCCATGGGTACAAGACTTTGCCAAAAATCCAGATGCCCATACATCTGCTCAGGAAATGTGATCACAGGATCCATGCACATCACTCACAATATTAGAAGTACTTTCAATTTTCTCATCCTCTAATGTGACATATGCATCCTCTGTCAATATTGCCTTCAAAAATATTGAAGGCAATATTGCCTTCAAAACAAGATAATCTCTGTGTCAAAAAATAAATGGAGGATGGAGCGACAGCCCACAGCCAACCCATGGCTGGACTTGAGCACTACCTCCAAGACGCCAAAGACGGGAAAGGCCTATATACTTCTCTCTGTACTGTTGTCTGCCCTGTCAGTATATAATGGCATTGAATGTTTGCCATATATGTGTGCTGTGATCCGCCCTGAGTGCCCTTCAGCATGAGAAGCGCGGAATATAAATACTGTAAATAAATAAATAAAATAATATAATGTATGACTGCCTCACCAGTTTGACCCAGAATGTTGAAAAAGCATAGATCTCTAATTGTAATAACCAAAGTACGATTTTTGAGAAAAAAGAAAATTGATGAAAAAGGTGATTCCTGAATGCATCCTGTAAGAAACCTGTAAAGGGTCTCTTAAAAGTTTGAATAAGGAAGACTCAATCTTTATTGAAAATATCTATTAACATTCTATTTTTATGTAGTGAGTTTGGTTTTTCCATTTAAAGCAACTTAGGCGGGGTATAAATAAAGTTTATTATTATTATATTATAACCTAGTTAAACTCATGAATAAATTAATTTAAACAACTTTTACTAATTTAATGATCACAACTACCTATCTGGGGAAAAGTTATATTGCCTTAGGTTGCTGTGAATTTTCTGGGCTGTATGGCCATGTTCCAGAAAGATTCTCTCCTGACGTTTCGCCCACTTCTATGACCAGCATCCTCAGAGGTTGTGAGGTATATTGGAAAAAAAGCAAGGGAGGTTTACATATCTGTGGAAGATCCAGGGTGGGAGAAAGAACTTTTGTCTGCTGGAGGCAAGTGTGAATGTGTGAATGTTGCAATTAATCACTTTTAAATTTGCATTAAGCAAATTTAGTGTAATCGTGCTTTTGCTGTGCCAGTACAGTACCTTCTAAAGTTGCACAGTAAATTCAATTTACAAAGGCTCCTTGTTTTTAAGTTCGCCATATGCACAACTGTGGTAAGACATTACATCTGTCGTTAAATATTTCATGAAGCTTTTGTGCAGGCATTGGCTTGTTTTATTAGCCTGTTTCCTAATGCTCCAAGTACTGAAAATTAGCTAAGACTGCTACCTGAGGCTTTGAATCTTTAAACAGAAGTGTGGTCATGGAAGCACCTCTTACAACATGCCTTGTTAAATGTGACTGGGCTTCTTAACATAAAAGCTGCACAATTGCACTATTATAGGTTTATTTTTTCATATGAAAAGCAATGCAGAACACTGACAGAAGGCTGGATACATAGCTAGGATTCAATGCCATTTAGACATACAACATACATAGACAAACACAGAGGCAATTTAACATTCCAGCTTTTACAGTACATGAGGGTATGCTCGGTTCTGCAACAGGTGGATCTGCCGCTTCACCATCCACTTGGGACACCGGCTTCTTTGATGGAGTACTTCCTCATTCTTCTGCATGCTGCTGAAAGATTTTATGGCATCGCAAATTAATTAAATTAGCCTCCCCACATAAAGTGGTACCTAAATTTCCTACTTGACAGATGCAACTGTCTTTCGGGATGCATAGGTCAACAGCAAGCTATACTATTAATGGTCGGGACCTCACTCCAACCTGGGCTGGCTTTGAACTCATGACCTCTCAGTCAGTAGTGATTTAATGCAGCTAGCTAGTAACTATCTGTACCACCGCCTGTCCAATATACAGTGTTCCCTCACTTATCACGGGGTAAGTTCCAGGACCCAGGATCACCCGCGATAAGTGAAAAATCACGATGTAGGGACGCTATACTGTATATGTACAGTATAGCTCTGCCCACTCCTCTCTCCCCCTCCTCTCTCTCTCTCTTCCTCTCCTCTTTCCCCCTCCCTCCCCCCTCCCTCCCCCCCTCCTTTTGCTGAAGCCACCCTTCTCCCTCCCTCCCTGCTTCCCCACTGGCATGGGGCTCTCACCAAAGAAGAAGCCCCAGTGGAAGCTGCCTTGGCGGCCTTCTCTGGCCCTTTCTGGGCTCTTTGCCAATCACACACATACCTGTGAGTAACTCTGCAACTCAAGTCTGTAGCAGCATCTATGCTGGAGAAACAACACACTTTGATAATGGGTATACAGTATTCCCTCGCTATTTTTATTTTAAATTCCTTTTTTTAAAAAAACCCACAAAACAGCGAGTTCACGTGAAGTGAACCGTGAAACAGCGAGGGAACACTGCATTATATTATTAGAATAGCACAATATTAGTATTATGTATTACTATATTGTACTATACCACTACTTAAGTGGAGGAGGGAGCAAGCTTGTTTTCTGCTTCCTTGGAGACTAGGATGCGGAACAATGGCTTCAAACTACAAGAGAGGAGATTCCATCTGAACATGAGGAAGAACTTCCTGACTGTGAGAGCTGTTCAGCAGTGGAACTCTCTGCCCCGGAGTGCAGTGGAGGCTCCTTCTTTGGAGGCTTTTAAACAGAGGCTGGATGGCCATCTGTCAGGGGTGATTTGAATGCAATATTCCTGCTTCTTGGCAGGGGGTTGGACTGGATGGCCCATGAGGTCTCTTCCAACTCTTTGATTCTATGATTCTATGAGTCGCCAGTTGGCTGAGAAAGGTGGTATACAAATACAGTAAATAAATAAATAAATAGTCCAGTGGTTTATGAGTTATGTTAATCCCAGAAACGAATATTACATTTTTATTTATATAGATAATAATACTAGAGACAAAGTTGAAGTATTTTGGCCACACCATGAGGAGACAGGAAAGCCTAGAGAAGACAATTATGATGGGGAAAGTGGAAGGCAAAAGGAAGAGGGGCCGACCAAGGGCAAGATGGATGGATGGCATCCTTGAAGTGACTGGACTGACCTTGAAGGAGCTGGGGGTGGTGACGGCTGACAGGGAGCTCTGGTGTGGGCTGGTCCATGAGGTCACGAAGAGTCAGAGACGACTGAACGAATGAACAACAACAACATAATACAAAAATATTGTAAATAACTATTAATTAATACTTTGGGCCTGGTTGACTGAGACTGGATCCACCCTGCCCTATACCCTAGGATTTGACCCCACATTATCTTCTTACTCCAGGTTATGTGACAGTGTAGACTCCCAGAATCCAGTTCAAATCAGACAACCTGGGATGAGAGCCTGGTCTCCCAGGCTGTGAGGATCCAGGCCAGGCTCTCTCTCCCCCCCTGGGCTCGCCCCTGAAGGCCAGGCTGCTCCCTGCGACACGGGCCTCTCTCCTTGGCGCTGGGTCCGTTTGGTCGGGCGTCGCTCCAGCGAGTGTTTACACGCCCCGAAAAGGCTGCGGGGAGGCGGCGCCCGATCCTCCTCCTCCTCCTCCTCCTCCTCCCTCCTCCCTTTTTCTCTTTGCCTTCCCTTCCCAACCTTTAAGGGCTTGGAGGGGCTTGGGGAAGCTCTTTGGACCTCCAATGCTTGAAAGCCTTCCCATCAGGGCGCAGCCAGGCACTCCTTCCAAGAAGAAGAGCTGCAGCTGCTGCAGCGGTGAAGGGGCCCTTTGGGGAAAGAGAAGGGGGGGATGCCCACAGCCATCCCTTAGCCGGGCAGGAGACAAGCAAGCAGCATGCTGAAGCCCTGGAGAGGGCCACCTGGGCTCAAGGCGCTCCGGCTGCTGCTCCTGCCGCTGCTGCTCTGGGCGCCTCCGTCGCGGTCGCACCCGCAGTGCCTGGACTTCAAGCCGCCCTTCAAGCCCTCGCGGCCGCTGGCCTTCTGCGTCCAGTACTCGGACTTCGGCTGCTGCGAGGCGGAGCGCGACGCCGCCCTACTACGCCGCTACTACAGCGTCAGCGCACACCTGGACCAGGGCGCCTACGCCGCCTGCGCCGCCCACCTGCAGAACCTCCTCTGCCAGGTGAGTCCCCACCAAGAGGAGGAGGAGGAGGAGGAGGAGGAGGAGGGGACCGCCTTGGCCCCTGCTCTGAGCTAGGCTTCCCACTACAATGATAACTAGTAGGAGAGGCGGGTGGGGTGGCAATGAGCCTAAGTTGTCTCTCCAGTAACACATCAGGCACAAATCACCCCGCAGGACCTTCTGTTCCAGGTGAGGTCCTCCAAAGGGGAAAGGATCACTAGAAGGACAGCACTATGTAACACAGACCTGAGCAAACTTGGCCCTCTAGTGATCCTTTCCCCTTTGGAGGACCTCACCTGGAACAGTTGAGGTCCTCCAACTTTTCTCTAAACTGTTCCCAATGAGGTCCTCCAAAGGGGAAAGGATCACTAGAAGGACAGCACTATGTAACACAGACCTGAGCAAACTTGGGCCCTCTAGTGATTCTTTCCCCTTTGGAGGACCTCACCTGGAATGGTTGAGGTCCTCCAACTTTTATTTAAAAGTTGGAGGACCTCAACTGTTCCAGGTGAAACCCTCCAAAGGGGAAAGGATCACTAGAAAGACAGCAATATGTAACACAGACCTGGACATAGTGCTGTCCTTCTAGTGATCCTTTCCCCGTTGGAAGACCTCAGCTGGAACAGTTGAGGTCCTCCAACTTTTATCTAAAAGTTGGAGGACCTCAACTGTTCCAGGTGAAGCCCTCCAAAGGGGAAAGGATCACTAGAAGGACAGCACTATGTAACACAGACCTGGGCAAACTTGGGCCCCCTAGTGATCCTTTCCCCTTTGGAGGACCTCACCTGGAACAGTTGAGGCCTTCCAACTTTTATCTAAAACTTCGAGGACCTCAACTGTTCCAGGTGAAGCCCTCCAAAGGGGAAAGGATCACTAGAAGGACAGCACTATGTAACACAGACCTGGGCAAACTTGGGCCCCCTAGTGATCCTTTCCCCTTTGGAGGACCTCACCTGGAACAGTTGAGGTCCTCCAACTTTTATCTAAAAGTTGGAGGACCTCAACTGTTCCAGGTAAAGCCCTCCAAAGGGGAAAGGATCACTAGAAGGATAGCACTATGTAACACAGACCTGGACAAACTTGGGTCCTCCAGGTGTTTTGGACTTCAACTTCCACAATGCCTAACGTTAGGAACGGTGGGAGTTGAAGTCCAAAACACCTGGAGGGCCCAAGTTTGCCCAGGCTTGATGTAATACTTTTGTTTTTGAGGGACATCCTGCAGCACATTTTGATACATGCAAATGTGAGTGGATCAATAGGTACTACTCCGGCAGGAAAGTAATGGCACGCCTTGCAGTTATGCCAGCCACATGACCTTGGAAGTGTCTACAGACAACGCTGGCTCTTCAGCTTAAAAATGGAGATGAGCACCAACCCCCAGAGTCTGTCATGACTGGACTTAATGTCAGGGGAAAACCTTTACCTTTATTTTTTTTCAATGAATTAGAGCAGTGCTTCTCAACTTGGGGGTTGGACCCCTGGAGGGGACTCACAAGGGGGTGTCAGAGGAGTCGCCAAAGACCATCAAAAAACACAATATTGTCTGTTGGTTATTGGGGTTCTGTGTGGGTATTTTAGCCCAATTCTATCGTTGGTGGGGTTCAGAGCGCTCTTTGATTGTAGATGAACTATAAATTCCAGCACCTACAACTCCCAAAGGTCAAGCTCTATTTCCCCCAAACTCCACCAGTGTTCACATTTGGGCATATTGAGTATCTTTTCCAAATTTGGTCCAGATCCATCATTGTTTGAGTCCACAGTGTTGTCTGGATGTAGGTGAACTACAACTCTAAAACTCAAGGTCAATGCCCACCAAACCCTTCCTGTATTTTCTGTTGGTCATGGGAGTTCTGTGTGCCAAATTGGTTCAATTCTATCATTGGTGGAGTTCAGAATGCTCTTTAATTGTAGGTGAACTATAAATCCCAGCAACTGCAAATGTCAAAATCAACCCCCCCCCCCAACCCCACCAGTATTCAAATTTGGGTGTTTCAGGTATTTGTGCTGAATTTGGTCCTGTGAATGAAAATAAATCCTGCATATCAGATATCTTACATGACAATTCATAACAGGGTGTATTTTCATTCACTGGACCAAATTTGGCACAAATACCCAACATACCCAAATTTGAATATTGGTGGGGTTGATTTTGTCATTTGGGAGTTGTAGTTGCTGGGATTTATAGTCAATCTACAATCAAAGAGCATTCTGGACTCCACCAACAATGGAAGTAATCCAAACTTACCACACAGAACTCCCATGACCAACAGAAAATACTGGAAGGGTTTGGTGGGTATTGACCTTGAGTTTTGGAGTTGTAGTTCACCTACATCTAGAAAGTACTGTGAACTCAAACAATGATGGATCTGGACCAAACTTGGCACGAATACTCAATATATCCAATTGTGAACACTGGTGGAGAGAAGCAAGAAGCAATAGCATAGTAAAATACTATATAACACAAGAACACAGAACTCGCAAACCACCCGCCGGACCTTCTTTGCCATGTGAGTCCCTCCAAAGGAGAGGTTTGTACCACCCTGGGGTTAATACACATTGCGATTTGACATAATTTGAACTGCCAGGGGTTTTGGACTTCAACTCCCTAATTCTTAACAGCTGGTAAGCTGGCTGGGATTTCTGGGTTAAATGCACTGCCTATGCCTCAGTTACACTTTTTTGTTGTTATATGCCATTGTTTCTGATTCAGGACAACTCTAATGCAAACCTATCTAAGGGTTTTCTTGGCAATATTTGTCCAGAGGAAGTTTGCTCCTCCTTCCCTCCAAGGCTGAGAGAGTGTGACTTGCTCAATGTCAGTCAACAGGTTTCCCTTACTGAGTGAAGATTTGAGTCTTTGTCTCCAGACTCCTTGTCCACTGCTCAACCCATACTGGCTCTCAACACTGCTTTGAAGGAACAATAACTGCCAAACATCCCTAACTGTTGGATATGATGGCAACTGGATTCAAAAAGTTGTGTCCAAGAAAGTCACTATTCCAAAACAACAAGGCACTAGCCTATCTTTTGCAGGCTTGTGCCATGTTTGACAGAGATGGCTAATGCTATATTAATACTCACTCATGGCTCACAGGTAGAGCCCATTCCTTGTATGCATATGCTGACACTCTAAAAAGGACTTTTTCAGAAAGCGAATTAGTTGTGAAAAACTTATGTAGACACCTCCCTGTATACAACTGTTCATAACTGAGGCCACTTTTAGGAACTGATGGTTTTCTCTTTTGTTATTTGCATCACTTTGTGGGTTGTTTAAAAAAGAAGACATCCTGCCAAAATTTCATTATTATTTTTAAATCATTAAAATGCCTCAAGATTTTATCTATTTCTTTATTTATTTGCTTTCAAACCTAATGAAAAAAAGTAACAAGATGTATTTATTTATTTATTTGTGTGTCTAAAGCATAAATAAGTATAAAACTGATAAAAATAGAGGGAACACTAGCGGTTAAATAATTTTTGACCAAAAACGGGCAACAGCGACTGCATTGTCTGTAGTTTTAAACAATTCTTCCTCTGTGCATGAGGCAGGGCATTGTGGACAAGCATACATGTGTTTGTTCTGCTCCACAGTCGCAAAAGGTGGAGGATTCTTTTAGGTAGTTCCATTTTGCCAGGTTGTCTTTTGATCTGCCTACTCCACTTTTGAGTCTGTTCAGGGACTCCCACGTTCCCCATTCTTGGTTTGCCCCTGGAAAAAGACCCTTGTGGGGGCCATCTAGTAGGGATTTTTTGGTTTAGCTGCCCAGAGGGATACTCTTGCTGTTGCTGGGGGAACATTAAGAGGAGTGGTGGTTCTCACGAAGCTTTTCCTTGATTTGAGTCTACTGGAAGGAGGCTGGTAGCCATGCAGAAGATGGCTTTCACAGTGTTCAACCTTATTTCTCTCAGAGTTAGCAGCAACTTCCCGTAACAATGTCCTGTAATAAGTAAGCATAATTAATTGCAAGAAAGAATGGCATAACCAGTTATTAAATAAATTGTTGTTGTTGTTGTTCATTTGTTCAGTCGTCTCCGACTCTTTGTGACCTCATGGACCAGTCCACGCCAGAGCTCCCTGTTGGCCGTCACCACCCCCAGCTCCTTCAAGGTCAGTCCAGTCACTTCAAGGATGCCATCCATCCATCTTGCCCTTGGTCGGCCCCTCTTCCTTTTGCCTTCCACTTTCCCCAGCATAATTGTCTTCTCTAGGCTTTGCTGTCTCCTCATGATGTGGCCAAAGTACTTCAACTTTGTCTCTAGTATCCTTCCCTCCAGTGAGCAGTCGGGCTTTATTTCCTGGAGGATGGACTGGTTGGATATTCTCGCAGTCCAAGGCACTCTCAGAACTTCCCTCCAACACCACAGCTCAAAAGCATATATCTTTTGAATAAATTAAATAAAATTTTAAATAAATTACTAAATAATTATTAAATGTTGCTTTCAAGCAACACATTATAAGAAATATTTTAAGTGCCAGAAGAAATGGGGAATATGTTATCTTCCAGACATTGGATTGTTCCCCCCATCATCCCTCACCATTAGCTATACTGGTTAGTGCTAGTGAGAAATCAGCTGAAGAATTTATAGTTTCAGCAGAAAACCCCCATGACCAACAGAAAAACTGTGTTTTCTGATGGTCTTTGGCAATTCCTTTGACTCCCCGTCACAACCGCCCCCCAGGGTTCCCGACCCCCAGGTTGAGAAATGCTGGTCTAGGCAATTTTTGCTTTTCAAATTCATCTCAGTCTCTTGTAATATAAAAAGGAGGGAGAAGGGAAAGAAAAAAAATGTGGCAACACCTTTAAGACAACCTTGATTTTATTGTTGCATGAGCTCTTGCGGATGTAGTCCTGCTTCTTCAAATGCAGTACTGAGTAGTATTGAGGCCTCAGGTATAAAATATACTTATAGAGTTGTAGGATCAAATGTAATAGAATTCAGAAAGGTGCAACTCATGAACCTTGCCCTAAAATTTGATTCTTGTCTTTGAAAATTTGGGG